TGGTAATAACCCAATTCAATTACTCGAGTAAGTCAAGGGAGTTACTTGTTTTGCTGCCTGGTGTCAATGACTTCGCCATCCCGATTACTTTCTCAGCTGCAGCATTTGCATCAATATCTAGCAATTACAAAATTGTATGACTAATAAAATTAAAGGACACTTTACTGTGCATACATGGCTTCATTCGCAGAAGTGGAATCAGCTTGTCAAATCGGAGTTACTAAAACAGGTACTTAAACAGCGCTCAGTACTCCTCAGTACTACTATGTAATTTCACTCAGTAAATAATTGCATCCTTACAATAACTTTAATTGGTTCCAATATTTTTTACGACCCCATTTTATGGGCTACATGTAGGTGTATGTATTCCGCTGAGACTGGCTACGCTAATCCTTATTACGCACTTGAATAAAGTGATTCTAGCCGTGGCCAAGCAACCGAAATTGGGCCGCACCGTTTATAAAGATTTGAGGTCCTGTTCTGCACGGACCAATAATGACTCCGCACGTAGGGGGAGTGGGGTCCTCCGTGTCCTGGACCCCCGGCACTCCAGGAGTCCGTCCAAAGCCACTCATGCACGCCCTTACATGCGTACAGATTGAACGGCAAAGGGCTTCCAATCGTAACGAATTTATGTCACGGCCCAGGGTCTTCCGCCATTCCCGCTGTCGATTTTGGTGGGAGGTCATATCAAAAGGCGATTTAATGAAATTACGGTCAGTATTAATCACTGTCAAGGCTAATTGAGTATGAAAGCAAGCGGAGCAAGCGATGGTGATTGCTCCGCAGGAATCAGTGCCGTTGTTGACGTCAGCGTTCATTAGGCCCAGGCAGCCCGACAAAAATGCAACCTGACATCTTAAAAGGGTTCCTTCGCCGTCGTCTGCATCGCATCACATTGCTTCGGTTTCAGTTTACCCACTTCCCAGCTGCGGATCACGTGTGTCGGCCATGTTGGTCTACGCCGCCGGGGCATTCGAGTATGTACATAATTATTATTATCTCAGTCCTCGTTCGTGGCAACGACTGTTGCGCACTCCAAATGACTTTAGCACTCCGATTTGGGGATGGGGGCTACTTGGTTACTTGGTTACCCGGTTACCCGGTTACCCGGCTACTCGCGCACATCGTTAGTCAATCGTAAACTGCGATCTGACAGGGACAAATGGCATTGGAAGTCGCTTTTATTTGCCGGCGATTATGGCAAATGAAGCGAAACTGTTTGTGTGATTCCTTGTTTGGACAGCGCGAAGGACAACTGCTGCGAGAAGTTTTTGCAGACTCCCTGCTCTTAATGCCTAATGTAATCAGGCCTGATGGCTGTTGCCCAAAATAAACACTTGCCACATGCAAAATGAAATTGTGTGCAACGGGCAACGTCGACAGGTTTCAGCCGTTTCTGTCAGGCCAGAGCCGGAGTCAGAGCCAGCGGAGTGGCAGGGGCTGCCATTAACTTATTGAATTTAAGCTAATTTAGCAGACAGCACTTAGCACACCACACAGCATCTCAATTGCCGAGAGCTTCCCTCGCCCAAAGCCCCGGGTCCGAGCTCCGTGTGCCATTCCGGCTGCCACGTCAAGTGGTGGACCAATTGGAGGAGGCGCCCGCCCGTCCCAACTAAATCAACCTGAGCTGCTCCCGTTGGCTGCTGGCCACCTGTCAGGTGCATGTAGATAAATTTCCCAGCTAATGGGGCCAGTCGCCCAAGGCAACGGACAGCAGCCTCTTCCAGTTTGGGCCACGAATGCAGCCGGCAGTTGTTTAAGCTGCTACAGAACTACAAGCAATCAGGGGCGGGTCAACTGGCCAGCCGTGGAAGGTCTCCCTCTCCGTTAACTGAATTTAAAATCACAAAAATTGGTCGTTCCGGCACAATGAGCCCGAAGAGCCCGAAGAGGCTGAGATAAATGGTTGCAAAGTGCACGGAAGAAGCGCTAAAGCAACATGTTCGCCAAATTCAATTGCTGCGCTTTAAAGGTTGCGCGCTGAAGGGCTTTTTCGGAGCCCACGTAGTCCATGTGGAGATCCCAGTTAGGTTAAGTAAGGTACGGCGCAGTGGGACGCAGTTTGCCTCGCAAAAAGCACGGGCACAGGCTGTCTGCCACCTGGGATAAAGTTCTGTCGCTCTACCTCCCGGCGGACGAACTCACACTTACACCCATTAATTGATTTAATGCCTGGAACAGCAGGCAAATGCCGAGCTTTGTTTGGAGCTCCCAAAATACACAGGACAAGCGGAACATGGACGGATAGTCAAGTAGTGGAAATCGAGCTATGTGCCGCGATGCACTCGAGTGTGCATAACGCCATTAAGGCCAAATTTCAAAGGGAATCTTACATGCTGGAAACAAGGCTTATAAATAGATCGACCCGCGCTGAACCCGGGCTGTAATTCGCCCAACATTTCAATAAATTCGGCTCGGCGGGCCTTGAGCTCATAACTCGGCTCGGGTAGTTGCCCTGGTGCTCCCTGTTCCTGGTTCCCTGTTCCTGGTCACGGAGCCTTGGAATTTATATCGCAGTTCAGTGGCACTCGTTTTGAAATCTCCCAGAATTTGCGCAAAATTTATGAGTCCAAGAAAAATGAAAACATAAACTTGTCAGTCACACATAGGCTAATAAATCGCTAGGGTCTGCTCACATCCTTTTCCGCTTCCCGTTCTGTTTCCCACTCGTTTGGTTCGGCTTGTAATCCTAGCTCGTAAAGTTCAATAACCTCGAGGGGATTAGAGGATTAGGTAGCAGACCCAAGCAGGCAGTGCACTTATTTATGGGGTAGCACGTTTCCCCCGGCTGGCCAAATAAATAAAAATAGTATAATGACTGGCCTAAGAGGAGGATCGTTCGCAATTCAAATGAAATTGCTCGAGCTTGTGGACCGCTTTTAATGGTCAAGGATGTGCCGCTCCTTTAAATAACACTCAACTCCAAGGTTCGTTCATCCATGAAAATTAGCATGAATACGGACGGAGTCGGCCACGGAGAGCGGAAGAGGCTAGCTCGAAATTGGGGACATTATGGACCCAGCCATTTGACCACTCAAAGTTTCAGCAAGGACACATGAGCTCACAATGTGCCTCATTTTGAATAAATTAAATTTGTCTGCAGCTGGCTATAATAAGCGGTCATTTCATGCTCAGCGTAAGGATGCTGGATGCTGGGTCGGATGAATGGCCGTACACGGATTCTCGGATGCATGACAAACATGCTTCAATAATTTCATTAGGACCCGAAACAGGAGGAGCCGCGGCTAATTAAGCGTTTTAAATGTCAGTCGGGCGGCTTAAAAGGGATAACACGGAATCTTTTCAAAAAATTCAGCAAGGCCGTCCGGGCTTCCAGTTGCGAGCACAATATGGCCAAAACAAAGCTCGATGTGCTCATAATCAGATGAAGTCGCCCATTAATTATGCATGTGTGTGTGAGCCCGAGGGCGCGTATGGGTGTGGGTGTGGGTGTGGGTGTTGGTGGTTTGGTGGTTTGTGGGTCGGTGGGTCGGTGGGTTGGCTGGCAGCATATGGACAACCCAAGCTCGCCAAAAAGCCGTAGCTCAAAGAAGACGCCATTAAAGGAGATTAATTAAAATAGCAAATGGTAGTGGGCACTCGTTAGTGGCCGCTTTTAAAAATTGAGAAGAAAAGGGATTCGATTGGGAGGTTTTACTTTTCGCCCAGCAAACTTACCAGCAAGCAAAGCTTACGCGTGCATAATGAAACACGCTGCGAGGGCATATTAATCGTTTTTAATTTGTCAGAGCGTTCCCGGCCCTTTGGCTAATCGAATATTTAATTAGTTTGATGCCTTTCCAAATCGACTCCAGGATTAGCACACCACGGGGGGAAGGGACTTCCCTCCGGGATCTCGGAGGGCAACCAAAGCCGCAGCCAAAGTCAAAGGCATTTGCAAGATTTCTGTTTGGCCAAAAGGGAACTGGCCGAGAAAGAGGATGCTGCGACCCCCGGTGAATGAATGACCTCAAATACAAGATTGGGAACATGAACTAAATATCTTAAGTGCTTTTATGAACGTGGGCCCCACGGGTTGCGCGCTAGAATGACGGCTACGATGACTCGTGCTGGTTGCCAGGACCCTTCGTCCTTTCACTGGGTTCTCGGGTTCTTTCCCGGCCGGGCCGGGGCTTGCTTTGGTTTAAAGCACTCAAATCATTTTGAAGCGTCAACTTTACCGGTCTCTACCCGCCGAGAAAGGGGTTGAAACAATTCTGAAAATTTATTTTCATTAATTTTAATTCGTTGCGAAACTTTTTCACCCCCGCCACCCATCCGCCAGCCATCCGCCAGCGGAGCTGGAAGCTCGGCTGCAATGGAGAGGGGAGCCGGAGTCAAATAATTACTTTTTCGGATTGGACCAGCGAGTCCTTTTTTAATTATTTGCCTAAAGCCCGGTTACTTAAGGTTCCCGTGCGCAGGACTGGCCAGGCGAGCATAATTAATTTATTTTACTTTGCCCAAACGGCGCCAATAATTAAATGAAACAGCTCTGCCAGAGTGTTCCTCTAGCTCTGCCTGTTGACACCCAGATTGGATGCCATATGCCATTGGAGTGCAGCTGGCGATGACGCCAGTTTCCGTTTGCCAGTGCTGCCTTAGGCTGCACTGATTTCACTTAAGCCCCGACAAAGGCTCGCCCAGGTCCTGCCTCTGATTTCAATGCACGATCAGATGCGGATACAGAGTCGGATTCCGCGCCGTCCGCCTCCAATGTCAATAGCACCCAAATTGATGACGCCAAAGCTGACATGCCTGACTCAGCAGGCGGCAATCAGCACGGCTCGCGCTGTGTCACCGGATGAGTGTGTGTCCTGGGCATCGTCAGCAGCGTCATGAACGTCTTTCTATCTGCCTCCCGGTCTGGGCTCCTTTGCACAGATGACAGTCACAGTAGACGCTAAGTACGTGGAGCTATTGGCTCATGTTTGGCGCCCGAGGCCTGCATTTCGCGCAGACTAATCCTAACTCTTTCCATTGTCTATTTTTAGGTAGCGACGCACTCAGTGAGGACGCATTGGAGTTGTAGTGGCTGGTAAGTAAGCAGGGAGGACGCAGATTAAGGGCTCTATCAATTCGGGGCAGAGATTAATTGCTCGCCACATTGCGCATACGCCAGGTGTTCGCGGCGTGTTCAGCCGCCATTTAAATTCAGTTCATGCGCGCTTCGTGGCGTGGAAATGGAAATGGAAACGGGAGCGTCTTGACACTCAGAAATTAATTGCGATACTTTCAGATAATGAATTAGTTGACCCAAACCCGATGCCATCGCCTGAGGTCACAGCAGAAGAACAGCAGCGGCCAAAAGGACAATTTGCAATGCAACGTCAAAACAATTACGTGCAGAAATGCGCTTGATAATAAAATGAAGTGACCTGGCTGGCTGGCTGGCGAGTAGTGCTCTCTTTCTTTCGGTTAAAACGTGTTCAAGTGCTGACTTTTATAAATTGTGCACTCGCCTCGCCCCTTGCCCTTGCCAGCACCTTGGCCAGGTGCTAAAGGTTCCTGCTCGAGCCTGGCCAGGTGAGAATGTGTTGGCCTGAGCCCAACTTGGCCAGCAATTAATTACGTCAGCAGCATAGACAGGCGGGCGGCACTCGTCCTGGCAGAACGAGTTCAGTTCATCTGCTTAAAAGGCATTTAAAGCGCATTTGGGGCCAAAGGGTTTCAGCTTTAACTCCCACACGCCGCCCACTCTGCTGACATTTCAATGCTTCCCCAATAGGAGGCGGATTTTTATTTGGCTGCCACGGTTGGCTGACTTCGAATGACATTTAAGCGCGGCGAAGTGCCCGCTTTAGCTTATCTCAACGGGCTGAACGTTAAAATATTTCTGGCTTTCCTTACATTCCGGCCATATCCCACTTCAGTCCTGTTTCAGTTTCAGTTTCTGTTTCCGTTTCCGTTTCTGCTGGCATTGCGGTATTTCTGCCTTTGCCGCAATTAATGCCAGTAGATTAATTATACGCATGGTTGCACACACTGTGTTGGTGCCGCAGCTTCTGGGCTCTGTTTTGTTTGAAATTTCACTTAAAAAACAAACGACACAAAGCCCAAATACCAAGCAAAAAGTAGCTGCCTCCTAATGAGTGCAAATTAGCCGATACTCCGGCCAGCCAAGGAACCCTAATTGGGCTGGGCTGCCGATAATCAAGCTGTCAAAAACTCGCTGCCTTCGTTATGGCGGAAACTTTAAGCATATTTGGCCGACAATTTAGTATTGATAGGTTCTGGGCAGCAGATGTGGCAAAACCACGTTTTTTCACCCGTCCGGGAGTTAAAGGGGCTATAAATCTTGTGGCCCGGCAGCCGTAGTGCGAATATGTCAACTTATGCCAGAAGTTTCCATCAGAAACAGAAGCACTCAATGGAAGCCATGGAACTTATTAGCAATGATCTTCTGCTCTCCCTGAAGCGGTGGCCTACGGAAGGCGTTTGGGCATGCCTGTGGGCCAAGTTCAACTAGGCCAACTCCTACGATGATTTATTTGCATTGGCCGTGAGGCGAGTCATGATTTATGTGCCCCAGGAGTATTTATTAAGACAAATAAATAGGCCTAGCTGTCATTGCCGTATCAACCGTCCACTATTACAGCGTGTTTAAGCCACTTCCGAAAACGTTAGGCAAATATTCTTACAACTGGCCTCTTTTCCACGGCTTCCCGTTATTAACAAATGCAGAAGGGCAACAACTTGCACAATGCCACTATTTAATGAGCAACAAAATTGGCTGACTAGATTGTTGGTAGAAAGTTTTAAGGCTGCTACTCTTAGAAACAGAACCTTGGAGTTGGAAAACTGCTGTTTTGAGCCAAATTCGAACGGCAATTGCAGAAAAATGCATTTTTGCCTATTTTTACCTCTTCGTTTTGGCTTTGTTTAACTATGTTGGACTGTTCAAATCCAATATCACTTCAACATCGCCATTTTTACAATGTGCCATCACAAATCTGTGCCTCTCAAGGGATACACGCAAATACATTTTTGATGACGGCTTTTTTCGCGAACGACTATTATATATTCATTAACATCGGCTGTACGGAGGCCCATTAATGTTTAAATGCTAAAAATTGCGCCTTATTGGCGTGTGCATGTATGATTTATGGGCCCAGCGAGCAGGCTTCAATCACGATACCCAGATACTCGACAGCCCACTGCCCTCTCCCCCGGTTGATTCCGCGAAATGGAGCCATCAGACCAACCGCAGCGGCATTGGAGCGCCGGCTTGAGTAGTGGCAACTCCAATCAAACTTTTCCAATAAAGTCTTTAGCCCGAAGACGGCGGATAAATCAAGCAATCAGGCACAGGCACAGGCACAGAAAGGGCTGACCTGCTCGGCTGTGTGAGTGCACCCGGTACAGACAGCCTCCGACATAATTTATGGCGTTCCTTAAACTCGCTTCCCGAAACGAGTCTCCGGCGCATTGGGAGGATAATAAGCGGCCGAACGAGTGAATCGAAAATCCGGCCTGGGCTGAGAAGTTGCGAGAAGCTGAGAAAGTTCCTGTGAAATGCGAAATTTAACTTTGTCGATTACACCGTGGAGACCACGTTGCGTATACGTAATAATGGGCCAAACGCCAAACTCAAAACGCCAGCAGACAATCTCCACGCAGCAGGTTTAACGATGGAAGCGGTGATCGGCCTCCGGGCCACGTTTCCCTGCATAGTTGGATGCGAGCTTGTTGTTAATAAAAAGGGCAGCCAAGCAAATGAAAAATACTTTTCCAGTCCCACATCCGCACGGGTGCGGCGCATGCTGTTGGCCAAATTGACTTAATCTAAAATAAAAGTTTAGTGTTGAACCGAACGCACACACAAAGGCCGAACGGGCCAACATATGCTATTCCTACGGCCATGGGTGACTAGAGGGTTGGCAAGGAGAGCTAGTTAGGATCCACAAGGACGCGGGGTTGGGGCGGCATGTTAATTTCCCCGGAAAGGCACGATAAAGTTGAGTTCTTTTCGAAAAACTATTCGACTATTCGACTCTGCCAAAAGGGTAGATATCGTTTCATAGATCAAATTCTGTGTGGCCTACGCTTAAGTTGGAGATTACCTGGCATAGGCCTTGGGGTGGGACGCTTCCAAGTTCAGTCACATGAGCAGGGAAAGTTTTAATCAGCAAATAAATTGAACAGAAAGGCTGAAAAGCCAGCAGGATTTACGATGCACAAAAGATTCCTTTGCGAAGGCTCGCTCAAATGCGCGTTAGAAGGGAAACAAAGCCCTGCCTTTCGAGCACACAAGCAAATTGTCAGAGAAACAGGAAATAAAATGGTAATTCATTTGCGGGAAGCAAATAACTAATGCATACACATGCCGCACACATCTGCATAATGTGGGGCAATTATGGTTAAAAGATCATAAAAAGCGGGGGAGCAGCAGAAGTACAGCAGTACGGAAAACCCATTTCCATTTCAACTCGCCCCTAAATCAGAGCTCCAGTTCAATAAATAAAGTGGGTGGGGTAGCGGAAATGCGTCCGCAAAGAAATTTATCCTTGAAGGACAAATTAAACGGCGTGGTGAGGATGGCTTTGCGCTCACAATTATTTCACAAGCTAATTTCTAGTTTCCGGGCTACACTTATCCAGATAAGTTCAAGGGCTGAGATCTCATTTCCCAGCCTTCGCTATTGTTTGCATTCAAATTAAGACAGAATTTTGCTTGGCACTCACGGTGGTTGGTAATTAATTAAAATATTAAACGCCCAGTGAAACGGGAGCAGGCACCTGGCTCCGATCTGTGGTTGTCGCTGACCTGAACCTTATCTCGATTCCGGCCTCCTGGAGGCCAGTTCGGAGGAGGAGCCCCGTGGGATCGCCGTGATAAGAAGTGCCTCCTGCGCTCCAGTACTAATCTCCATTTGCCTGGTGCGGCTTGAATCAGGAGCTGTGACCCGCCCACTGCAGCACGCCATTTTGTCAGCTTCATAATTAAGGGCAAAGTTAATTTTTGCTCCGTGGTCGTAGAGTGACTTGACTTCGTTCCATCAAGACCGCCTGCTTTTTGCTAGTGTGCAAGCCGGAAAACTCATTATTTTTTAAATGGAACTCTTTCTTTGTGCCGTTCCCACTCGGAGCTCCGCGTCCCTTTAGTGCCCTGCCCGCCTCCACATGGACTCCGATCCCAGTCGCAATTAACTGAAGAGAATAATGTTGCGGCAGTGACGAGCAGAAACATAATAATTCTTTTTTGGTATCCACCCCCGCGGCTGTTGGGCGAGTACAACTTGGCCATGTTGCATTTGAAATGACTATGTGAATGCAGGCAGGGAGGAGTGGAGTGGAGTGGAGTTGAGTTGAGAGTGGTCTGGCACATCAGCCTGCCACTCCTATGCACGTATGTGTGTGCTGGGTGGGTACTGTCGGCCATAATTATAAACATCCGGATAATGTGAGTCCTCCTGCGAGTCGTGGCCGGGTAGCCAATTCCGATTTAGCGGAACTTGACGGGCGGGCACTTGAATTTGTCCTGGGAAAGACTAGCTGCTGGGATTGCCAAGGATGAAGGTGAGGGTAATCGAAATGTTTTCCCGCGGAGCACGGACAACGAGCTGCAGTTGCGAGTTGCGGACGGCAACATGCACAAGTGTAATGAACCCCACATGCATCGCCGAGTGCCCTTTTGCCATGCCCAGCTGCCAGCTCCCTTTTGCTCATAAATGCTGCATGTTTGCAGGAATTGCTTAGCTGGGATTTGCTTAATTTCCCTCCGCACCACGCACATGTGCTCCCTGCTCCCTGCTGCCTGCTGCCTGCTCCCTGCTCCAGTCCCATTTCCATTCCGACCTTATGGCCACCAGGGGAATTGCGTCCCACGCTCCGTATACGCAATAATTCCGCCCCTCTGCTCATTGCTCGAAAGGAGTGCCCGACTTTAACGCGCTTCCTTGAACCCGCACATGCAGCGCTCAGCCAATTGCGGCCAATCAATAGAATGTAAATATCTGGCACTCGTTTTGCATTGTTTTCGCTTACCTTTTAGGTTCCGCATAAGCCCTTTAGCCAAACTCCAGTGACATCTCCAGCG